GCTGCAGGATTAGGCACACTGTGTCCCAAGATGATATTTTTAATTACCCCCTTGCTGTTATTTTTTGAGAATTTGGGAACCTGAGGGGAAAAACTATCACCTAGCACCACAGTGCCTTACCCTAAAGCTAACCCTAACCCTAATGCTGACCCCAAGCCTCACCTTTTCCTGATGTTTTTTGCCATTTTCCTCCTGCCACCCTCCCAACCACTCCCCTGAAGGACATGAAAGAGTAAATTATGCCATGAGCATCATCCCCTGCAGCAGAACCCGGGAGGTCAGCGCAGAGCGGCCCCAGGGTGTGAGATGCTCAAAGCACCGGAAGGAAAAGGCTTCAGGGCATGATTCCAGGCTGGATAACCCCAACACCTGGCAGGGAGGACACTCAGATCCTCTGGTGCTCCATTAGCAGGCTCCATCAGGAGCTGCTGAGCCAAGGAGGAACCTTTTGACTCCTCAGCAGCCAAACCCTGGAGTGCCTCACTCAGAGGTGTCTCAGGGGCACACACAGACACAACACCTCTCCCTCCCAGCTGCACAAAACGAGGAGAACATCCCAAAATAGGCATCCAAGGGGCAGGCTGCTGAGCGTGGAGGATGCTGCGAGCTGCACGTGGTGCCCAGCATGGAGGGGAAGCTCCTGTGGCTCCCAGGGGAGATCCTGGCTGGATGCAGGGATGCAGGGATGCAGGGAGGCAGATCCTCCCCCACAGTGTGATCTCCGTGCTGCCAGTGCATCGATTGTGCTCCATGTAGGTCAGGCCCGTGGCTGGCTCCCACCGTGCCGTGGAGCTGTGAAATGGAGCAGGATCCCCCCTCTCCCTCCACCCAACCCCCTGCGTGCCCAGCCCTTGGCACAGGGCAGCCTTGGCTCTCATCCCAGGGGAGAAGAGCACTGCCCTGGGGCTCGGGGCTGGTTTGGCACACTGTGTGTGTCCAGCTCCTGAACATCCCCTGGAGCAGGAGGAGAGCTCAGAGCTGGGAGGGGGAACGGGCAGCGTGACCCAGTTCATGTTTCTGTCAATAAAGCTGGCACTGCTCCCTCCCAGCTTTGGGAAATGGATGGGCCTGGAGCAGCTCCCAGAGAAGGGCACTGCTCAGTGCAGCATCCCCTGGGTGGAGGGAGCTGGATCTCCCTCATGTGGGTGCTCCCCTGCTCGTCTCCGTGGGTTGGAGTGGGTAGGAGACATCCCAAACTTCAGCCTTGGAAGCTGCTGGTTTTGGCCACCCAGCCTTAATTCCTTCTAGAAGCCTTTATCACGCCAGGAGGAAACCCAGATCCTCTGGTACCCTGGGCTTCTCCTGGCTGGTGAGCTGGAAGGGGAGGGAGGCATGGAAAGGGAGAGAGAGCAGAGGAAAAACTTTGTCAAACGAACAAAACAAAACAAAACAAACAAGCAAAAAAAAATTTAAAAAAAAAAACAAACCAAAACCACAAACAAACAAAAAAAAATTCCCCACTCAGTAGTTCAGAGCAAACTTTGTACTAGTTGAAGATTTGACCTTGTGTTCTCTCCCAGGAACAAACAAGAGCAAAACGAGGATCATATTATTTTGCCTGAAATTTGGAGTGGATCAGACCCCTGCTGTTCCAAGCCCCTGCAATGAATGGCTATAAACAAGATGCATTTCCAGAGAATGAATTAAACACTGAGTCTGAGTACTGACTGTGTTTGAGAGATGTTTATTTGTCCTTGCTGCCTCTCCATAAAGAGTTGCACAAGGACTTACTAAATTTTAACCCCACATTGTTCTTGGGTAAACAATGCCCTTCATCCAGCGTCAGGAGTGCTCAGAGCTGAGATAAGCTCAGGTTGGCTCGTGCTCTCTGGAGCATTCAGCCTCTTGGAACCAGCTTCCCACAGACCCCAGGGCATCCACATAATTCCCAAAAGCCTCCAAACCTCTCGCAGCTTTCTGCATTTTTATGCCAAAAAAGGGGGGTTTTTTGAGAGAAGTGCAGCAACTTTTATCTCAGCTCCTCTCCTTATTTTGGAAAGAGAGACGGGGACAAACCATGAAAACCTGGTGATAAACTGTCCCAGGAGCTGTGCTGTGGCTCCCCAAGTCCCTGTCCCCAGTGCCACCACCACGTGGAGCAGGGGGTTGGGATGGGATGATCTTTAAGGTCCCTTCCAACCTAAACCATTCCATGGTTCCATTTTCTTCCTGCCCTTCCACAGAGATGGAAATGTGAAGCTTTGAGAGCTTCCTCCATCCCAGGCCTCACTCTGTCCCCTTCAGCATCACTGGTGAGCACACACACACAAAAAAAAAGGCTAAAAGGGGATGAATATCACTGCAGACTTTCTGTCTGCTTTCACTTCCAGAGTCTACACAGCCTTGTGCTTTTGGACCATCTGCTGGCATCCAGCGGGATGGGGAGTCAGGTCTGCACAGCCTCAGCATCCAAGCAGGAAGAGCAGCCTGGAATGCAGCATTTCTGAGGAAAAAAAATGGGTTTTGTTGCACAGAAGGGAAAAGCTGAGTGAAAGTGGTGTGAAAACCAGCCCAGCCTTCTCACCCTCCCTGCTTTCAGGGGTGTTTTGTGGTGTTTCCCCCACTTTGGGGGGACACAGCCACAGGATGGGAGATGCTGAATGTGACTCTCCCAGAAGAAGGATCTGTGCCTCGTAGAAACATTTCTGAACTCATGTTTGTTCCCTCTCCTGGGTCTGGGCAGAATGTCAAAGCCTGCTCTGAGCTGGAAATATTTTAAGACTAGCACTCACTGGAGACTGAAACAATGGCAATTCTTCAGCTACTGAGGCTTTTATAAAAGGGCTTTTGACACAGAGGCTGCTTAGGGTTGGCTTTTTTTTTTTTTTGCTTTTTTTTTTTAGTTGGTTTTTCTCCCAGAAAACGCTTTGCTAGTGTCCGTGTGTGTGCTCATGCACACGCTTTTGAGTGTGCAAAATAATCCCTGTGCTTCCAGCAGGGCCAAAGGTGGGAATGCCCAGGAGATGCCTCCAGCCCTGCTCCAGCGAGGAGGAGGCAGCAGCTCACACGGGATCCACGCAGCGATGCAGGAAGAAAAAGACATTTTAGAGTAAATGTCAGCGTTTGCGTTTCTGGGTTTGGGGCTTTTTTTAAACACGTGGGTGGGACTTTTAATGCCCAGATGAAGCCGAGATGGTTTCAGTCTCCAGGGCTCATCCAGAAGATTCACACAAACACTATGGAAAGTGTCTCTTCGCTCAGGGAGGATGAAATTTGACACTGCAGAGATTTTAACCCGGTGTTCCAGCGAGGAGCCTCGGTGGTTAGCGTGTCATATCTGATAAAGGCTAATCAGCCCTCCTTCAGGCACCATTCCATTCTTATTTCCATCTGCTTCCCATGCAGATTGTGTTATCCGTGGTATGGATTCACATGCAGGAAAACCACTGCGAGTCCTGCTCAGGAATCAGAGGATCAACAGCAAAGAAGGACAGGATGGATCCCCCAACCAGAACCTTTGGAAACAGCCCAACAGTTCCCAAACCAGAACCCTTGGAAACAGCTCCCAGTCCTTGCCTGGACACCAGCAGTGTCCAGAACCAGTTTGCACTGGTGTGGGGATGGGATCCCACTGGGCAGTGGGGTTCCCTGCACAGCCCCACTGCCTCCCCCAAGCTCTGAATCCCCTGGCCCCAGTGCCATCCCTCCCTGCCTGAAGCCTCCTCCCCAATTATCCCTGCTGCTGTTTGTTCAGGCGATGTGGATTTAGCTCTCCAGCCTCATGTGCACTGTGTGTATAGGGAAAGATAGATTGTCGCTGCTTTCCAGTATAAATCACATTCCTTACAACACTCCAAAGTAGCATTTTCAACCTCAGGGTGCTAATAGGATCCAGCAGGAGAAAGAAATGTCAGCTAAGTAGCAGGCGCTGTTTGGAGAGTGCAATGGAGCTGATCCACAGCCCCAGGGCAAAAGGAGCAATCCCAGGGCAAAGGTTAAAGAGTTCAGGAGCACTTCAGCCTGCTTAATTGCAACAGGCCTCTTACACGGGGTAAGATGGATGGCCCGAGCCGGCCGAGGGGGGCAGAGCGGGGCCAGCAGCATCACCCGGCCCGGGAAGCGCCGGCACGGCGGGGACAGGAGCGGGATGCAGCGATGGAGGCACCGCGGCCGCTCCTCGCCTCTGCCCGAAACGCTGCTGGGCGGCAGAGCTGCCACAGCAGCGCCCTGCAGCCATCAGCTCTGCCCCATCCCCGTCCTGGGGCCACAAACTCTGCCCCATCCCATCCTCAGGCCATAAACTCTGCCCCATCCCGACCCTGGGGCTATAAACTCTGCCCCATCCCCATCCTCGGGCCATAAACTCTGCCTCATCCTGATCCTCGGGCCATAAACTCTGCCCCATCCCAATCCTCCAGCCATCAGCTCTGTCCCATCCCCATCCTCAGGCAACAAACTCTGTCCCATCACATCTTGGAGACACAAATTCTGCCCTGTCCCCATCCTCGGAGCATAAACTCTGCCCCATCCCAATCCTTGAGCCATCAGCTCTGCCCCATCCTGATCCTGGGGCCACGAACTCTGCCCCATCCCAATCCTTGAGCCATCAGCTCTGCCCCATCCCAGTCCTGGGGCCATAAATTCTGCCCCATTCCCAATCCTCCAGCCATCAACTCTGCCCCATCCCAACCCTGGGGCCATAAACTCTGCCCCATCCCGATCCTCAGACCATCAGCTCTGCCCTATCCCCCATCCTGGTCGTGGGGCCATAAACTCTGCCCCATCCCCGTCCTGGAGCCACAAACTCTGCCCCATCCCCATCCTCGGGCCATCAGCTCTGCCCCATCCTGGTCGTGGGGCCATAAACTCTGCCCCATCCCAATCCTTGAGCCATCAGCTCTGCCCCATCCCGACCCTGGGGCCACCAACTCTGCCCCATCCCGACCCTCGGGCCATAAACTCTGTCCCATCCCGACCCTCGGGCCACAAACTCTGCCCCATCCCGACCCTCGGATCATAAGCTCTGCCCCATCCCCATCCTGCAGCCATAAAATCTGCCCCATCCCATGCTGGGGCCATCAGGAGAGGAGCAGGGCAGCGAGGATGCAGGGCAGCAGGAGGTGGCCGGGGGGCGGCCGGGGGGCTCCGGGGGAGGCGTTGCACAGGTCGCTGTCGCAGCAGTGGATGCGGACCCCCGGCAGCTCCTGCTGCTGGCAGTGGCGAGAGGTGGCACAGCCGCTGGTCAGCAGGATGCCCAGGACCACTGCAAAGCAAGCACAGGGAGGGACATCAGCGGCACGGGATGCTGTGGCAGCCTGGCACAGGGGACAGCCCCTGCGAGGTTGATTTTGGGGGGGGAACAGCGGCTGGAGCAGCCCCCGCAGCCCCGGCCCCGGGGGCGGACTCACCGCTCTCTGTTTTAATGCAGAACCGGTGCTTGAAGCCCTGGTGGGACTGGGAGCAGGTGATCACCTCGGGCTTGGAGCACCCCATGTCCACGTTTTTGGTGCCAACCACGATGTTGCAGCCATAACACTGGAGTCCAGACACTAAACAAGAACCAGAAGAAACGCGGCTGGATTTTTTTTTTTTTTTCCAGGGGGGAAAAGGCTTCAGCTCGTTCCGAGCTGCTCTCTAGCGACGGCCTCGCAGCGCTCCCTGCCTTGCCAAGTCGCATTAAGCCGGAGCCCGGAGCTGCCCGTCACTTGTTTACCCAGTGGGTAAAAATCCAGACTCATCTCCCACTAGAGGTCAGTGCGAAATCAGAGATTAGCCGGGGATTTGAGCTGGGATCAAACTGTGGGAACAAGGGAGGTTTGAAACGGGGTGTAAAGAGTAGGTGAAACCTCACAGACACCACTGAGTCAGGGCTCGGTCGCGCTCAGAAACAGATTTTCCCTTTTTCACCAAATTTCTCCAGTTTAGCTGTGCCTGTTTTGGAGGTATTTGCTCCAGAGGGATGGGTTTATCAGCGTGGTTTGGTTTTCCCCCTGGACACAGTCCTGATGTTATCACAGGGTCTGTCAGGAAGGCAAACCTGCTCGGAAAGAGAAGGGAAATCCTCCTTCAGAGCACCAGAGCCACCGTGCCTGTGACCCCGGGCCAATGGCCTCAGGGGTGTCCCCAGGGCTTCGCACACTTGCACTGGCAGCAGCTCAGCCCTTCCCTGCAGCCAGTGTGGCTGGAAATTGCCACAATGGGAATTAAGCTGTTTCTCAGGTTTCTTAAAAAAAACCAACCCCAAAACAAAAACCACAACACACACCAAAAAGCCTTTAAAGGATATTAATTTACACCATCCACCTCTGCTGTGGAGGTTAAGGCAACCTCTATTGATTAATCAGGTTGCTGCTATTGCCTTTCCTCACCTCTGAACACTGACCCAGAGCCCTTCCTGAGCCCTCCTGTGCTCCCACAGGGTTTTGGGGGGCTCAAAATCTGCTCCCACAGGTTTTGAGCACCCTCACACAGCCAGGCACAGCAAGGGGAGTCCCTGCCCTGGCCAAACCAGGGAAGAGGAGCCCAGGGGGTCCCAAATCCTGGCACTCTGCCCTTTTGTACAAAACACTGACATTACCTCCATCCTAAAACCACCAGCACACAGCTGCATGGCTTGGGGCACCTGGGCAAGTCAGGTTTAGGGAGGATGGAAAAGGGTAAATCCCACCTGGGCAAGTGGGGCTTAGGGAGGATGGAAAAGGGTAAATCCCGCCTGGGCAAGTCAGGTTTAGTGGGGATGGGAAAGGGTAAATTCCACCTGGGCAAGTGGGGCTTAGGGAGGATGGAAAAGGATCAATCTCATCTGGGCAAGTGGGGCTTAGGGAAGATGGAAAAGGGTAAATTCCACCTGGGCAAGTGGGGCTTAGGGAGGATGGAAAAGGGTAAATCCCACCTGGGCCAGTCGGGTTTAGGGAGGATGGAAAAGGGTAAATCCCACCTGGCCAGTTGGGTTAAGAGAGGATGGAAAAGCGTAAATCCCACCTGGGCAAGTGGGGCTCAGGGAGGATGGAAAAGGGTAAATTCCACCTGGGCAAGTCGGGTTTAGGGAAGATGGAAAAGAGTAAATCCCACCTGGCCAATTGGGTTAAGAGAGGATGGAAAAGGGTCAATCCCACCTGGCCAGTCGGGTTAAGAGAGGATGGAAAAGCGTAAATCCCCCCCGGGCACGTGGGGTTGAGGGAGGATGGAAAAGGATCAATCCCATCTGTGCAAGTCAGGTTTAGGGAGGATGGAAAAGGGTCAATCCCACCTGGCCAGTCGGGTTAAGAGAGGATGGAAAAGGGTCAATCCCACCTGGGCAAGTCAGGTTTAGTGGGGATGGGAAAGGGTAAATTCCACCTGGGTCAGTCGGGTTTAGGGACAATGGAAAAGGGTCAATCCCACCTGGGCCAGTCGGGTTTAGGGAGGATACAAACTGTGGCTCCGAGGCACGGCCGCACCCCGGGAGAGCAGCACTCACCCTCCGGCAGCACGAACACCACGGTCAGCAGAGACAGGATCCCATGGGCACCTCCGGCCATGTGTCCGCAGAGCATGGGGGGCATCTCCGGGGGTCCTCCGGGGTGAACAGGGGCTCTGGGGGAGCGGGCTGAGACCTCCTCTCCTCCCGGCTCTTCGCCCTGGCCGTCCTGGTGCTCGGCGCTGCCTCCTCACCTGCGAGCCCTTCCCGCGGGTCCAGGGAGGTGTTTTTGGTGCAGCAGGGATGTGGCTGCTCCCCGCTTGCCCAGCCAGCCCCTGGCACCCAGGCTCCTTCTGTCGATGTTGAATTTTTCCCTTTTCCTCTGGAGAAATTCCCCGATTCTTTCAGTTCGTGCACAGACCTGAGTGCGTATGTGCTACCCTCGGTTATTTCTGTCCTATTTCCTCTGTCCACGATCACTTCCCATTAATACCAGCGTGCAGCAGCTCTTGGAGAGAAATTCTCCCTAATCAAGGTTTAGTTTTAAATCCACTTCGAAATCCTCTAATTCAGTTGGATTAGGCAGAAGGGGTTTGGGGAGATGTATGGTTTTACTTGGTTTTTTTCTTTTTCTTTTTTTTTTTTTTTTTTTTTTCT